TCCATTTTGTATCTGTGTTTTCAAAGTGGTTAGGATACAAACACCAATAGGATCACAAGTCCACATCTTGTACAGCAATTAACCACTAAGAAGAATATATGCAGTGTATTATTTGTTGAAACTGTACTTCTGATTTGATTTGAAACTGTCTCATTTCTATCTGTTTATCAATAAAACTTTGAAAAAAAACAAAGTGGTTAGAATAGATATATAATTACATTCTCTTAATGAATAGAATGATTTGTTCTAATGGTGTTTGTGAATATGATCTCAAGTCCGCATCTTGTAGAGCAATTTACCAGTAAGAAGAACATATGCCGTGTGTTAATTATTGAAACTGTCCTAGCAATTTGATTTGAAACTATTTCATTGCTATTTGTTTATCAATAAAATTATGAAGAAAAAGAAAATAAGGACTTGAAGAAATATGGACACCCTAATGTTCACAGCATATTCACCATACCCAGTGTAGAAACAACCCAAAGATCCCTCAGTAGGTTCCTAAATCAGGTGGACACACAATGGGACATTACTTACTCTCAAAAGGAAAGGAACTTCTGATACATGTAACATTGATATCCCTAACAGTTTTATGATAAGTTAGGTCAACCAGATAGAACATGACAACTATTTTATGATTCATTTACATGAAATGCCCAGAATACACAAATTAATAAAGGCAGAAAGTGGTTGCTGAGGAATAGGAAAGTATGGGAAATAAAGTTACTGTTTATGGATACCCCATCTGTCTTTGGAAGGATGGATCTTATGGAAATAGATAGCAATGATAACATAACATTGTGAATATATTTAACTCCACAGTGTACACAATGAAATGTTCGAAGCATTAAAATTTAAGTCACCTACATTTTACCACAACTTAAAAATTTGCCCTATATGGAGAGGGTTTTTGTGTTACTTCTGCAACTTTTCTGTAAGTTCCAGATTGTGTTAAAGTAAAAGATTATAAGAAAAAAGAAAGCCTGCCCAGTCAGGATGTTATCAAGATGTTACCATTCCTTTGAGAAGAACACATTTTTTTTTTACCAGGATGCATCCCACATCTCTGTATCAAATAACTAGCCCTAATTGCCTCCGAGGAATCCTACCCAGGTTACTCTTTACCTTCTGCTCAGTTGCCCTTCCCTTTCTCACCTGAGGCCTCTTTCCTACCTAGGAGTTCTCCAGAATAGTTGGACCTCAGCTGGTGCCCAAGGGCTGAGTGAGGAAAATGGGTTACCAACACTTTCTGTGGGCACAGTAGATAAAATATGCGCCTCAATTTTGTACTAGTTCACAGTATGTGTCATAGGCCAGGTGTCATACAGCAACAGGCTTTAGCCATGGGTGAGGTTGATGTGTAAGATTTCTCTAGAGTGAGGATATGTAAACAACATCTGTATAATAAAGTCAGAAATACCATATCAACTTTGCATTGACCATATGTTCTTGTTAATTATTTTTATCTAGATCTTACTTTACATTAGGGTTTACCTAGAGTTTACCATTGTGTCTTATTTTATTTCCATATGATAAAGAATTAGAGATCTTATAAGGTAAATTCTCTTCCTTCACTTTCTTGTGTAGTTCTATCAACTAGTTCTAGATTTACTGAGTGCAATGAGCAAAGTTAGTGAAGACCCACCCATCCCGTATTTCTCATAGCTGGTCCCTGGTAACTTGACCTCAGGTCAGAAAATTCTCCCTGGTGAGTTGATGTGGCTACTAATGAATAAAGGTTGTGTTAATTATATCTGTCTGCTGGAGTATGATTTGGTCCTCATGAGTCTATCATTCCCTTTTTGGTAAGAGTAGGAAAGTCAAATTGATGATATAAACAGTACAGACTTGTATGTGTCTCAATCCTTAGTCACCTGCTAGAAAAGTGCCCTGACTTCCTTGGTTTAATGCCCTGAAAGCTGCCATCTCAGCTATAGGGCCCAACTCTCACAAGCGTATCTCTTTAAGGGAGAGGTGGGGTTTAATCATTTTGCATTCCTCTGCTTAATTTTGTGTAGGTGGTATAGAAGGAATAAAGCTTTCTCTTCAGCAGGTACAATGACAATACACATTTATCTATAATTTACTAAACAAAAACATTACTTTCCAAACAAAGACTATACAGTGAGGCTTTTGGGCCTGCTTTTCCTCAGATGAGATAATGCAGTGACTTGTTTTTCTGGTTTTTGCATTTTTTTTTTTTTTGAGCAAGACAGAGACAGAGAGAAAGAGAGACAGAGAGAGACAGAAACAGAGCAACAGACAGAGAAAGAGAAAGAGACAGACAGAGACAGAGACAGACAGACAGAGAAACAGAGAGATAGAACTCAGTATTATCGTCCTTTATAAAGTAGATAACTGATGACACACATACATAAAATGATTCACCGTAGCCTCATAGTGAGTTAGTGGCAGGGTTGGAAATAAAATGCAAGTGTCAGAGAAGGGACATCGATCATTCTCTCTGCCGAGGAAATTGCTGCTCCTTTCCCCCTTACGTTGATAACTTTTTATTATATAAACTTAAGTGCACAAAATGTTGTTTTCATATAGATAGTGAAATAAAGTCTATGGATAAACAAGTTAACATACCCGTCATAGTCGTCTTTTTTACTATGTGCATTGCATGGTAAGAAAACATACATTCTACTCCTTTTGGAAAATTTCAATATATAATATTATTAATTATAGCCCACCTGCTGCATATCAGACCTTTAGACTTATTCATCCTGTATAAATGCAATTTTGTATCTTTAACTTGAATATTCTTTGTTCCTTTCCATTTCTGCCCTGAAAGCCATTATTCTGTTCTATGTATTTAACTTTTTAAAAGACTTCACCTATAGTGAGATCATGTAGTATTTTTCTTTTCATAGCCAACTTATTTCACTTGCACCATGTCCTACAAATTAATTGGTCTTTTTGCAAATGGCAGTTTCTCCTCGTTCACAGCTTGGTAATACTCATAACTGAACTGAATCTTGTAATTTTTATCCATTTATCTGTGCAGAGGGAAGTTTCTCACCTTAGTTATCTCGGTTAATGTTGCAATAAACATCAGAATACAGATAATCTCTCTGAGCTGTTGATTTCATTCCTGTTGGGTATTATCAGAAAGGGATTGCTGGTGACATAGTAGTTCTATTTTTAAGTTTTGTGGAAACTTCATACTGGTTTATTAAATGTCAGTTTATATTCTTACCAATGGTGTAAGAGATTTCCTTTCTTCTCTGTCTTTCCCAATGTTTTTCTTTTATTGGGAAGGTATTATGGGGGTAAGAGCTATCTTAATAGATCTGATGGCATTTCTCTTCCAGTTTAGATTCGCATTTCTCTGATGATTTGTGGTGGTAAGCGTCTTTTCATAGACTGCCTTTACATAATTTTTAGAAAAATAAAGTTGTACCTCGGTTCAAGAATGTGATTCTTTCCACTATTCTGGTCACAAACTGAGTTGGTCAAGAACTGAAGCAAATTCAATGATTAGGTTCAGTGATCACCTTATGGGGAGATTTGATTCAATTCTGGTCCAGTTTGGTTTGTGGAGAAAATTGAGTCACAAATCCAGGCCCCACTGTATAAAGTCCTTTGCCTAGTTTTTAATTAGGGTGTTTGTTTTGCTATTGAGCTCCTTATATATTTTGAATATTAATCCCTTGTGTTTATGGTTTACAAAGTTTTCTCTGAACCTGTAGGCTACCATTTCATTTTGTTGATTTCTTTCTCTGCTGGCAGAAAACTCTTCAATTTTTGTAGTTTAACTTGCTTAGTTTTTCTTTTTTGTTGCCTGCATTAATGGGATATTTAAATGACCCTTAAAAACATTGTCAACATCAGTATCATGGAGCCTATCCCTTATTCTTTATTTTAGGACTTCACATATATGTGAGATAATTCTAGGAGCTTTATAGTGTCAGATCTTTAATCCATTTTGAGTTGATCTTTGTGTGCTGTGCAAGACAGAGTCTAGCTCCATCCTTCTGCATGTGGATATCCAATTTCCACATTATTCTTTTTTATATTAATTTTATTGAGAAAGAAGTAGCAATGAGACAGTTTCAAGACAGGTTAGTAGGACAGTTTCAATAATTAATACATTGCATATTGTTGTCTTTGTAGTAGTTATTCATAGTACAAGATGTAGACATGATATCCTGTCCAAACACTATTAGTTAAAAACTTTCTTCTGATTGAACAAAGAGAAAGTAGCTATATATATATATATATATATATATATATATATATATATATATATATATATATGCTACTTTGTATATAAAGATATATTTTTTCATTACAAAATGGTCCTCCATTTATATCCCCCTTTTTTGTTTACTTTTGTCAGAAATGTGTATTCCACTGCCATTCATATATTGTAGGTGTATGAATTCAGCAAAGTAATCCAATATAGTCCAGTAGTTTATAATAACAGTGGGTTATCCACATGACTGGCAATGTCAGAAGTTCCACAACATTATTCATGGTATGATTCTCACAGACATTGCTCACATAAAAATTAAACCAGGGAGTGAGATGACCTGGGGCCCGGCAGGATCCTGAACAGACCCAGAGCACAGGCCCGGCGAGTGAGTGAGATGACCTGGGGCCCGGCGGGATCCTGAACAGACCCAGAGTGCAGGCCCGGTGAATGAATGAGATGACCCGGGGCCCTGGGATCCTCATTTGACCCAGGCTTCATGCAGGCCCAGCACAGAACTCTTCAGCAGAATTCCCTGCAAAGAGGCTAGAGGCAAGACCCACCCAGCTGATTCAGGAGCAGAACACCTTGCCAGAGAGACACAAAGGGTTCAACTCTAATGCCTGC